GTGAAGACTTCATGGGCCAAAGGGCCTCTTCTGCACTGTATGATTCTACTGGTAGCTCCAATTCTAAAGTACACTTTACGTTGAAATATTGGATTTTAAAAGTGTGATTTATTCACAAAAGTAAAAAAAAGTTAAGTTTAAAGTTAAATGAAAAAGAGTTGACAGGCAATTCGAATGCTAATGAAATACATCTGATGATATTTCCTCATGAACCTTAAACAGCAAGCAACTTGCTGTCGGCAAATACCTCATCCCAATATGTCTCTGCTGTGTCAGGCCATGAACTGATTGAAATACAGGGACAGGTGCACAGAGAGTTAGTGAGATCCAGCAGGGCCTGCAAATCAGTTTGATTTAAGCATTTTTGGCCAGAATCAAAGACAGAATGCTGGATGGTAACAAGGGATTATTTTCTTGAACCGAACGCATGCTAGATAATTCACTAATTTTGCTTTACTTGTTCATGGATGGTTATTGCTGACTAAGTCAGCATGTATTTCCCATCCTTAATTGTCCAGAGGATAGTTAAGAGTCAACAACATTGTTATCTGGGTCTGGGGTTACACGTAGGCCTGACCAGTTAAGAATAGCAGATTTCCTTCCCTAAAGCTCATTAGTGAACAAGATGAGTTTTTACAGCAGTTAACAATGGTTACATGGTCACCATCAGGCTAACCTTTAACTCGGACTTTTCTTTAATATTGAATACATATTCCACCATCTGATCTGGTGAAATTCAAACTCATGACCACAGAACATTAGCCTGGACTTCTGGATTACTAGCCCACTGACAATACCATTATGCCACCATCTCCCTCGTGTGTTTATTACTGTGTATTATTAGATGAAGAAAAGTTGTACTGACTAAACTAAGTAAAACGAATTATGGTTAATGTTCACTTGTGAAATGGATTAACACTGACATCTGATTTCATTTTCATCAAGTGTCTTTTTGTCTTCACCCAGAGGGACTGATGAAAGATGCATATGAAAGCAAAAACACCCAGCTCAGAAGTTGCCAGTATACTGCACAATGGAAGGGGCACATCTCTAAATGCAAAATGCTTAGACTGCTTATGAGAGTCACCAACACCACAATACCCAAGAATATCAGATACATTAAGGCAAAACCTATCATATTCCCATAATGCAGGAAGTCTTTTGGGGCCTTCCTTACACTCCTGGACAGGTTTTATATAAAAGCTAACCACTGCATAGCCAATTTCTAGAATTACAATAATGTAATCATAAAACTATAGAAAGTCAACATTTAGCCTGTTAAGTCTGCACCAGCTATTTCAAAGAGCAATCCAGCAAGTATAATCCACTATTCCAAATTTCTGAAATCTTTTCCCCATTAAGTATATATCCAGTTTTCTTGGGATATTGTGATAGAATCGGTTTTCACCACCGCATCAGGCAGTGTCTTCTAAAAGCTTACCACTCAAGTCAGTTTTTTCACATGTTGTCTCTACAGCTTTTGCTAATTGCATTAAATCTCTCTCTTAACTAGCTGTACAGAAAACAGCTTTAACCATCAGAAAGAGTTCCCCTTTGTTTACTCTATCTAAACCTACGATGGCTTTAAACATCTATATCAAATCACTTCTTGACTTTGTTTCAGGACAACAACTCCAACAGGGAGTTGGAATAAATGGCTCTTATTCAGAGTAGGAAACAGTGATTAGTGATACCTTAAGAATCAATGCTTGGGCCAATATTTCCAAGTTTGCTGACACCACAAAACCAAGAGGAAACGTGAGTGGTGAGGAGGAAGAGGCTTCAAGGTGACTTCGACAAGTTGAGTGAGAGGGAAAATACAGTATAGATGCAGTATAATGTGGATAAATGTGAAGTTGTCCACAGAAGTAGGAAAACCAGATTGGCAGAGTACAGTTAAACAGTGGTAAATTTGGAAACGTGATATACAAAGGCACCCAGGTCCCTTTGTACATCAACGGCCAAAAGTAAACATGCAGCTGCAGCGAACAGTTAGAAAAGCAAATGGTATGCTGGCCTTCACTAAGGGGATTAGAGTACAGGAGCAAGGATGTCTTGCTGCAGCTGTGCACAGCCTTGATGAGACTTCACCCGGAGTACTGAATGTAGTTTGGGTCTTCTCACTTAAAAGATATACTTGCCATGGAGGGAGGTCAGCTAAGGTTCATCAGTCTGATTCCTGGAATGGAAGTATTAGCATAAGAGATTGGGTTAACTAAGACTGAATTCACAGAGGGTTAGATGAATGAAAGTATGATCTCATTGATATATACAAAATACTGACAGGGCCAGGCAGACTGGAGAACAGATGATGTTTCTCTTTCTTTGGGGGATATGGTGGTCGTGGTGGTCTAGAACATGGAATCGTGATCTCAGGACGTAGGAAAGATGATTTAGGGTTAAGATGAGGAGCAGGTTCTTCACAAAAAAGAGTTGGTGTTTTTGTCAAATTCTCTGTCACATTAGGTGGTGAATGCCAACTTATTGACTATAGACGAGAAAGAAACAGGTTTCTAAACACTAATGGCATCAAGGGATACAGGGCGAGAGCAGGAGCATGGCACTGATATAGGGGATCAGTCATGATCATACTGAATGGCAGGTTCACTGGTCTCTTACTTTCTATGTTTATATTTCTCCACTCTATTGATGTAAATGATATACCTCACCACTCAAACCATTCTAGTTAATCTCTTCTATACCCTCTTCCAAACGCCCTAAAGTGTGGTTATAATACTCCAGGTGGGGCCAAACAATGCTTTGTGGATATTTAGCCTCACTTTTTCGGCTTTTATATTCCATACCTTTTCTTGTCACATCCAAACTTACGCACGCTTAATTAGCTGCTTTGTTTAATCTATACTGTCATCTTCAAAGATAGGCATTCAGCCACCATCACAATTCCCCCAATTCCCAGGTCTGTCTCTCCTTGCAAAATTGTATCATTGCCTCTTGTTGTACTTCCTACAAAAATTTATCTCATCACACCTTTTTTTACATTGAACTTCATTTGCCCCAGTCCACACAATGCAACAGTATATGTCCTCTTGAAACCTGTTGCTGCCTTCCTCACTGTTGCTACGCTGCGAAGTTTTGTCTCACAAGCAAATCTAGCCATTTATCTTGCCATTTTTCCTTCCTTCAGACCTCTTTCAAACCAAAATTTTAACACCTCCTTCTTTGGCTCAGTGACTATTTTTGCTTGGTTACGCTCAAATGAGATGCCTCAGGCTGTTCTACTACATGCTTGCATGTATACACAACTGAGAACAGCTACACCCTAGGACTGCAACTGTCTAAGAATATATTTCACCAGCACTTTTTCCAGGGCAGTTATAGATGAGCAATAAATGCTGGCTTAACTAGTGACACCCATTCTCCACAAATGAATAAAATGTCAATATACCAATGTCCACCAATCCCATCTACTCCACCATAGATAATTATCATGCGCTGTTATATCGATTTTACTGCATAGAAACTTTCAGCTTAATTGCTTGGTGCGCTGGCATTTATGCTCCACAAGCACCTTGTCACAGTCTTCTATGGTTGCAAATACAGAAATTTGAATTTAGTAAAAATCTGGAATTAAAAAGCTAGCCAAATGGTAACCATGTAACCACTGCTGATTGTCATAAAATCCCATCTAGTTCACTCATAGACTGTACAGAAAGAAATCTACCATCTGCACCTGGCCTGGCCTGTGTGCAAGTCCAAACCCAGAGTAATATAGTTGATTCTAACCAGTCCTCTGAGCAATTTGGGATGAGCACTGAATGTTGGCCTAGTCAACATCCCGTGAATGAAATTTAAAATCCCTCCATCTTATCACAATCTTCCCTCATTGTGAATCATCATCACAGCCTATATCTTTAATATCACGCTATGGCCACCATTACTAAATCCTTTTCCATTCTCACCTTTGCCTGACTACAGGCTACATTAACAGCTACTAAATAACTTGCAGTTGTTGTAGAAATCAAGAAGTGCAATTCAAAGAACCGGTATCCCATCCCCAAGTCATCCTTTATTTACATGTGCACAGTACATGGACTCTGACCAGCCAGCTCAGAGCCTGTCCCTAGAGAGGAGACCTTCTGACACTCCTATTTATATCTGTCAGCCAGGGCTCTCTGATTGGCCCAGGTTAACAACCCCAATCAGGGAACTCATATTCAATGAGATCCACCTGGCCAACCCCATTCCAAACACTACAGCAATGCAACATTCTTTAAAACATTTATCATGTATTGTAAACTTTATCACAAACAGGTTCTGAAGTTGGGGAACCATGAGGCATCATCAACGCCAAAGTAACACAAAATTGTGTGACTGGTCAGAAACACTTATAAACACAAATAAAGGATGCTGTGTTTATGGGGGCAAAAATAGCAGCAAATAACCAAGGGGCTAAACTAGAAATGCTCAATATCATTTGAATAGCTGCAAAACAAATATACATCAGAAGAACGGGGAGGAAAGTCACTTTAACAAGAGGGAGAGGAAGCCTGAAAGAAAGTAGGATTACTTCATAAGAGACCATATACCCCAACAACGTGTCAATTCATCAAATACATGAGTAATGGATGGCTCTAGATAGGTTGTGGGAAGAAAATCTAATCTAAAGATTTGCAGCAGCAGTTTATGTTTTGTCATTTGAACAGAGATTGAAGCAATGCTAAAATACTGGTCGTGTACAACATGCAATGGAGAACCTTTAAGCTTAGAAGGTCTTTTTACATTGTAGCATTGGGTTGTCATTTCAGATTTTAAAATGCAACAACATGATGCAACACAGCACAAAGAGCAGTACTGAGTTTACGGTAAAGAATCATTTTATTTTATTTATTTACTGTCATGTGTACTTGTTACATGTATTAGTGAAAAGTGTTGTATAATCCTCCAATCAATGGAGGTCAAAGGAAAATTCGCTCCGCTTAAATTACATCATCGCATTTGTGGCACAAATGCTTAGGAAACAGTTCGAAAAGGAAACGTACCTGTTTGGGACAAAGCCTGCTGTCTTTTGAAAGCTTCAATCTCCACCGTATTGGCTGTACCTGCCACAGGGGTACCTTGGTGTGTTTGCTATAGAAGGACGAGAAAAAAAAGCACACATCAGAAACAAACACAGTAACTATAGCACAATGATACAACAGGTTTTAACCCTTGCATTGCTATAATGATTCTCAGACATGTCCGTGCCACATTGACTCCTTACCTGGAATTGTTGCTGCTGCTGTGTTGAAAATGCAGCAGAAACATTAGAGGGAAGCTGTGTTGCTATGGCAACTGGTGTCCCAGTCTGGCCATCCTTTCCTGTCACCACTTTTACCTTAAATAAAAACAATGCATTCATTCACAGGTTCGAAATGGAAACATCAAGTCTGAGCGAAAGAAAGTAATTTGTGGTACAAGGACAGCCAGGAAACTTCTGTTTGAATTCTTTACTTCCTAGGCTTGCTTCACAGATTCATCATCATCGATTTTAATTTTTACAGATTGGTTTGCAGAACAAAGAAAGTTATTTATTGCAAGGCCAAATTAAAATCTTTTGCTAAAACATTATTTGAAACATCTCTGAAGACAAAAAATCAGTATGAATTTTAGCCCAATGGAATCACATTTGAACGTACAAAAAAAGCTACCCCAAAAATTCTGAGATGTGGAGAGAGACGATGGGAAGTAAATTATCTTGTTTTGTTTATTTAAAATGTTAAATCATTAAAATTTCTCCGGGTAAAGGAAATAAAAAGATGCGGCCTTTATATTTGGAATGTTGTCTACGAAAGGAAGATACTGCTTTAAAACAAGGAGGCTGTGCAAAATGATTCCCTCCAATTTTAAAAGTCAAATTCACTGCAGCACATTGAGATTTTCCTGGAACAGACACCATACAGCTCATAGGTTCAGAACTAAGAACAATTCCTTGACAACTCTTTGATTGGCTTCTGGCCAGGTGACTAAGGCTTGTGTAGAGCCAGTGCAGCAATGAACCAACTCAGCCTGTAAACCTGCAAAAGAATTTCTCATGTGGATGAACTAGCAAGTCTCCAAAAACGCTAGAGATAACAAGGTGTACAGCTGGATGAACACAGCAGGCCAAGCAGCATCAGAGGAGCAGGAAAGCTGATGTTTCGGGCCTAGACCCTTCTTCAGAAAGGGT